CAAGGCAGCTGTCTGCTTTTGCCTGAGCCTGCTGGGAAGGGCAAGATTTTGCTCTTTTCTTTTTCACCCCACCCTGCTGATTTAATGGAGAGCAAACTACTTTTATATTTTGAATTTAGTTTGAAGCAATTGTAGTAAGCCAGTGATAAAGAGGGAACATGGGAGATGGAGAGAGAAACTGGAACACTTCAGAAACAAATGAAAAAGTTGGAAAACAGAAAATTAATTGTGACTGTCCCTGTCAAATCAGGAAGGTATTTAATTTTGGCAGACATCAGTTTTAACTGTGGATGAGAAGCTAAAACTGCAAAACACAATTCTGCCTGACAGGTCAAAACACAAGTCTATCTGGAAGCCTGCATATCATTCTTCTGAGGTGTCCCTGTGCTGCTATTGAAGGTTTTCCTTGCAATTATTGAAATACAACAACACTGCATGCAAATTTTTGCTACTTTGCCCCCTACCAGCTATACAGACTTGCTTTTGAAAATCACCTCTGGCCCATTATCATAAATGGAATAATATATCCCTGGCTCTGCCAAAAGACACTGCATGCTGGCAGATACTGTAACCCATGCATCAACCCTGACAACTTCAACTGAGAATTCACATTGCCAGTTTTCTCTGGCAGGCTGCCCATGGCTTTCTGACTACTTTATTTGTGGCTCATTATCTATTCCTAAAGCAGGGACCCCCTGATGGCTCTACTTTTTGTGTAGCTGGGAAGCTCATACACCAATATCCCCAGCAGCTTGACTTTTCTTTGGCTTTGTGTCTTGCCTTCTGCACTGTCCCTCAAGGTCAATGATTCAGTAAGCTTCAAGATGCTTCTGCCAAGTGCCTAGTCATTCATTCTCTCCCCTCCTTTCTTCAACAGCAAAGGTGCCATTCTCTTTGTTGTTGTTATTCTGTGGCTTCAAGTCATTCCTGACCCAAGGCGAACCTATGACAGTTTTTTCTTTGCAAGATTTGTTCAGATGAGGTTTGCCTTTCCCTTCCACTGAGGCTGAGAAAGTGTGGCTTGCCCAAGGTCACCCAGTGGGTCTCCGTGGCTGAGTAGTGATTCAAACCCTAGACTCCTGGGTCCAATGCTCAAACCACTACACCATGCTGGTTTATATTATTTAATATGGGTAGATTTCAAAACAGACTGCAGTGAGATGCCTCAAGATGGAGGCCACAGAAGTTTCTGATTTGCTCAGTTTTGAGCATGGTTGGGGCAAATTTACTTTTTTGGACTCCCAAACATGACAGCCAGTGTGGGTTAGTGGTTTGTGTGTTGGACTGAGACTCTGGAGATCAGGGTTCAATTCCCCACTCAGCCATGAAATCTACTGGGTGACTTTTGGCAAGTCACATGCTCTCAGCTTCAGAGGAAGGCAATGGCAAACCCTCTCTGAACAAATCTTGCCAAGAAAACCCCATGATAGGGTCACCTTAGGGTTGCTATAAATTGGAAACAACTTGAAGAAACACAACACCAACCACAAACTCTAGAACACAGAGGGCAAGGGGAGGCAGAAGCCCCCCATGCCTTGTCCAGAAGTAATGGGACCGCCCCAAAAAATGATCAGGCAAAATTGGATCACCAGGGCACCTATTTAGTTGAAGCCTCTCAGAAAAAAATTATTAAAAAGTCTACTACTGCTGCTTTCATGATACTTAGATTTATCACTTTCAGTTGGATGATGATGGATGATAGATTATTGTGATTATCATAATTGGTTTGATGCAATGTATTGTATTTACCCTGTGTTATAAAAACATATCTGCAAGCAGTTAAAACTAATAATAAACTGCATGCCAGTGTTTAGTTGACCCCACCATAAAAACACTTCTAGGGTCCCAGACTACAGCTCTCAGAATCTTCTGGGAATTCATCGAATCACAGAATTATAGATCCAAGGGAGGGGACCAAGAGCCATGTGATGCATGATCACCATCCTGGACAGATGGCCTCCAAACTCTATTTTAAAATCTCCAATGAAGGCGAGCCCACCAGCCTCTGAGATAATCCAACTATTATACCAAAAAAGTGAATTTTTCAAGCTTTGCTTTGAAATGGAATTTAGCCTCGTGCTAGGACAGAAATTCTGCAGTCCAAAATATAATTTTTCAGAAACTGTGGTTTTGAGGCAGACATTGCCAAGGGTTCAACCTCAGCTGTTTGAATCTTTTTATTATTATTATTCAATGGCATTCAGTTAATGGAAAACACAAAATACTAAAACAGATAACAGAGCCCTGAACATGTGCAGATTGTAGCTAACCAAACAATTTTACTGATCTGGTCAGAATTTCAGCTTCCTAACCTGTCAGAAATCAAAGATGTATACATCAAAGGAAGGACGTCTGTGTGTTCCCTGTTCTTTGCATGATAAAAAAGGGAACCAGATAATAAAGGGACAATCTATGCATTATCACAGAATAACAGATTTGGAAGGGTCTGCAAGGGAAACCTAGTCCAACCCCCTGAAATGCAGAGATATGCAACTAAAGCATTCCTGAGAAATAATAATAATAATAATAATAATAATAATAATAATAATAATAATAATAATAATAATTGTACCCTGCCCCTTTGCATAGCAATCGGGGTGGCTTCCAACATAAAAATACAACACAATAAGATCAACCCCAAACCCCAACCCTCCTACCCCTTAAAAAGTTATAATCATCCAACTTGTTTAAAAATCTTCAAAGGAGGATAGTCCACCATCCTTTGAGGCAGTCAGACATCTCTTACAGTAAAGAAGTTCTTCCTCATGTTTAATGGAATCTATTTACTTGTAATTTAAATCCATTAGTTTGTATCCATTAGTGTCTGAAGCAGCAGAAAGTAGAAGTGTGTTGTCCTTTCATCAGTGTTATTACACATCTGAATTCTATTAGAGGGGAAGAAATAAGCTCTGTCAATTGAGTCACCCTGTCCTCTAATCCACCTTTAAGACAACAGCAAGTGGTTATCTACATGTTTTGTTTTGCAATGTGACTATACAAACAATCTCACTTATGCATTCCTGATTTCTTGTTCACACTATATTTTAATTGGAACCACATCTGTGAGCATCTCTATGAGTTCTGTTCCCACACATGTCAGCACTGCAAATAAAGATGGAGTCAATTATGTGGATGTATTCAAAACACGTTCAAGAAAGTAGAACACACTCTCTCGGAGAGCGGTGGAGTCTCCTTCTTTGGAGGTCTTTAAACAGAGGTTGGATGGCCATCTGTCGAGGATACTTTGATTGTCTGTTCCTGCATGGCAGAATCTTGTGGCCTCTTCCAATTCTTTGATTCTATGAAAGACATGCAGAGTTTTATCTTGGTTTATCCCAGGTCTATCTGTGTCAGTTATTCATACAGCTGACAATGCAAATCTTTCAGGATAACTTTTAAAAAAATCAATTATTTGGGTTTTGTGAGGTTTTTGACAGCCCCCCAAAAAACTTAATTGGATACATTCAAAATTCATGTGAACAACACAGATTCAACCCACTTTCTACTGGGATTTGACAAACCCTTAAGAAACTGACTTGTTGGAAGAAAAGGCACTCTGCATTTGCTCAGAGACACTCATCTCAAAGTGCTGAGTTCTTGAGATGCTCAGCTCAAGAACAACCTGTCCTTGTTCTTTTTTCATCTTAGGAGGATGGAAAGCTTTTCAATCACATTCCAGACAAGCTTGAAACTTAGCACCTCCAGTTGACAAGTAGGTTGAAGAAATCAAAATCATGTTTTCAATGAAAACATGAAGCCCCTTTGAACTCATAACCCTACAATTAATTCTTGAAATGAGACAGATATGTTGGTATGGACACAGTATCATGCAGTGCTCTAGCAATGTGTGTGTGTGCGCACAGATGCAAAACCTTCATAATAAACTCATTATAGTAAAAGGTCTAGCAGCTGAAAGTAAGCACCATGAAGCAAACAATAGAAGGTAAAAGTAGAAGAGCTACTGAACTGTAATTTTTAATTATCTGTCATTATAAGCAGTGTGAAGTGTCTCTTTTGTCTCTGGTGTTCTGTGCTGCTGGTTCACAGCTGAGTTTCTGCAGGTAGCTTAAAAGTATGCAGAAAGGATAAATTTTCATAATGTGCATACCAGTACATCCCAGCCTTTGAGGATTTTTTTCAGAGAATTGTTGGGATACTTGTTCAAGAATTTGGGATACTTTGGCTCAGAGGAAAGGCATCACCAGAAAGGACAGCATGAGACAGAGGTTTGCATATAAATTACATACTGTATGCTAATTTATCTTTACACCAGACATGGAACTGGACAGCTCTTCAAATAGTGATTATTATAGGACACATTCTTCTGACAAGCTATTTAGCTTTCCATATAAACAGCAGTGGAAAACCAATATGGTATAGTGCAGTGGTAGGCAACCTTTTTGAGCCGGGGGCCGGGTTGCTGCCCCTC